CATTACCATTACCATTACCATTACCATTACCATTACCGTTACCATTACCATTACCATTACCATTACCATTACCGTTACCGTTATCGTTATCATTATCATTACCATTGCTATGTATCTCTCGGTTGTGTTCAATTGTTTTCTTTTTTCCCAATGTTGTTGTTGTGCCCGCTGTTGTTGTTATTTTTGTTTTGTTTGCCTGTTTTGGTTGTCCTGAATGATTACGTTAACTTTTAGTATAAATCTACTAGCGTTTTATCACGAATGCTCTTCTCTGATTGGCTACGTACGCTACTAACTATTTATTCTTCGATAGATAGTGAGTAGCGTAGCAGTGTGCCCTTGATAACAAAACCCTTCTTGGCGTTTCCGAAGTGTCTGTGAAAGTTTTGAACGTCTAGTGAATTTATACTAAAACAATTAGATTATTCGCTCTCGATTTCTATATGCCCTGTGCCCTCGTCAACTATCACGCGATAGAAATCTCGACCTCACAATGTAATTGTTTAATATGAAACATTTAAATAAAATATACGTCGCTTTTCAAAGCAAGGCAACACTCTCATGGATCTTGTACTTATGTCGTATTATTTGGCCTACAGCCAATGCCGCTATTATGAGGTGCTACAAGTGTGTCTCCAGTTCAAGCTGGGACCATTGCAATGACAGTCAAGTTGTTGAAGACTGTCTTTCGGATGAGGAACAATGTGCTCAATTCCTCATTCAAGCCTATGATCCAGTATCTGGTTCAAGTAAAGCAAATTACCTCAAAGGTTGTGCGTCAAAGAGAGTGTGCCATAAACGTCAAACTTCCAAAGTGTGTGAAGATTTTCGGAGGAGAAACTCTGGAGCGCGAATAAGCTGCCAAGTCTTCTGTTCCTCTGGAAATCGCTCAAACGAAGGAAAACCACCAGGTATTGATCAATAAGGTCTTAGACGAACAACTGTAGAAAATTTTTAAAATTTTTCTTATGTCCCCAACTCATTTTAGCGCGCTCATGGCACTTTGTCGGTTATCGTTCTAAAATAGGGCATAGAGGCATTGTATAAGCATTCCTAAACCGTAGTTTTGTTTTATGCTGATTAGAAAAGAGGTCTATTGAGAAGCTGAAGGTCGTGCGTTTCTGTGACTTATACTAGAAGATTTCTTAAAAACATATATTGATTAAGGCCTAAGAAAGACACAAGAAAAAACTTCAAAATTAAATGCTGAACACTTAAAATGACAACAGGACATAAAATCTCTAACTTCGATCTTTACTAGTGTGTTCCAGTGCAAATATTAAGCTTGAGTTTTATCCGAAAAGCGTTATGTTTACATGTATATTCGATCTAAAGATGTGAAAAGCTCTTTTTAGTAGATATATGTACCAAGCTTGTTGTTTAAGAAATTTTATTTCTGGAACTCCATCCTTCAGAGTTTCTACTACCTCGTTACTTTACACTCAAAGAAAACTAAGCCGTAGATAGTATGATAAAATCTAAGCACCAGGGCCGTACAAAAACGACCGATTGCGCCCAATATTTCCCAATACTTATGGCTAGAGTAAGCTACGTTAGTAATTGGTTTATTAAATGTCACTCAAAAAGGAGACAATACACGGCCGACCGTTGCCGTTTCCATGGAATTGGTTCGCATGGCAAAATCCCCATCTAGAGAGAACCAAGCACGTTGAACGCTGGAATTTATCTCAGTACTACCTTCCCATACAATAATTTCAATATCTTTTTTCAGACTTATGCAAACCTGGGTACTACTGTCTAAATGGGAACACCGATCTCTCCCTTCCATGTCGATATGGGACATACCAGCCTTTCGACGGTCAAACGTCGTCTTCCTCATGTATTCAATGTCCAAACGCAGCAGTGTTGAATGCAGAACCATTAACAAGCTGTCTAACAGGTTAGTGGTGGTGAATTGAAAGAGAAGGTCTGAATGACAAAACTTGTTATACATTGAAGTCTCAATCTCCAATTTGTGAGCTGGAGATGATTTTGGATATTTTGTCATATGTCGAGGTCTGCCACAGAGCATTTTGTTTTTCGTTCTCATTTTTTTTTTTACCTGTCGAGGTCGCACAGCAACGAGATTTTATCACTTTCGATCTCTGCGTTTTCGACTACGGTATACTGAGAATATGGTTAACGTTGGCAAATGTTGACGCGGAAAATACGAAAAAAATCCACGCGAGTATAACCACAGAAGGTATTAAACGAATAATATCTGAAAACAAAAATGATCAAAAGAATTATAGGAAAGGGGTAATTATGCTTAAGCGACAAATAGAACCTTCATTTAGGGAGAAAGTTGGTTCACCCAAAACAGTATAAGAATTCGGTTTTTATGATATTTAAAATAATTAAGTTCTACTAAGTGTTATCTCAAGTGATAGTTCTTGCCCCCACTCTTGTTCATTTTGGACAAGAGACGAAAAAATGGAACAACATGGAATAATTGGCTCTGACTGTAGTTCTTATACGTAGTCTTTACTACATTTTCCTAGCACTTTTAAGTCTTAATGCCAGGTAGCTGTTAGCTAGCTCTTGCCAGTTAGCTAGTGACCTTTCTACCTGCAGGGCCGTAACTAGTAACAGGTAAACCGAGGAACTTATAATTACTTCATTCATTTTATTTCTGTTTTTAATTTGTTGTTTTAAGTCATCATAAGCCCCCATAATACCTAGAAAGAGAATTTAACGATAAACATTGCCTCAGTCATAATTGTTTCGTGGACATTTCTTGAGTCATAGTTCTTTTCTGGCTATGGCCCTGACCTGATATTTCAATTTGAAACCGTTTCACCAGACCTGTATAAACTAAACAGTAAGCCAAGAAAAGGTACACAAAATTGAATTCAGACTCGTTAGAACTCGAGTAAAATTGCTACGGAACGCAATAAGCGGTTATTAATGCTTAAGTTCTGCTGTCTTTTTCTTTCTTTCTTTCTCTCTCTCTCTTTCTTTCTTTCTTTCTTTCTTTTTTTCTTTCTCTCTCTCTTTCTTTCTTTTTTTCTAATAGACAGACCATTTACCTCTTCATCACTTGCCAAGAGCGCTGGGGAGATTGTTGGGGGAGTCGTTGGTTCTTTGATCCTATTGGTCGTTGCATACGTAGTCGTTCAAAAGCGCCGTCGTCGTGGTAATACAAACGCCTTTACGGACATGTTAGACCTCGCTTACAATCTACAAAAAGACGACAAAGAACTACTAGAAGAACAAGAACAAGAGGAAAGTTCTACGGCCAAACAACTTCGATTTAGTTATTAACCCTTAAACCTATTCAGACCGGGTAGGCACGGTAGATGGGGAGGATGTCTCCGTCTAAACCGTATTTTGACAGTTACTTATTTATTAATTTTTTGTTACAAAATTTGTCTTTTATGCAGTTCTTAAAAAGAGAATTTTAGTTGTTAAAACGAAATGAAATGGGAGAAAAGAGCTGCTTGTAGTCCAATTCTCACCACTACAAGAGAATTCCATTTCTTATTTCATTACTTAATTTATATTCTATAAAACATATCTAAATTACCATATTTAGACAGGGAGCCACGTTGCCTACAGCTCGATTTCATGCGGGCTCTCTTTCCTTGTCGAGTTTTAATTTACGCTACTAGTACTCAGAGGAAAGCATTTGAAGCATGGCGAGAACTGACAAGAAATTCAGCCCAAATATCGCTCCAAACTGGAATCACGTTACCGCTTGCATTCCAAATGAGTTTGTAATTTTAACTACCATTAATTAGCGCTTTTTAGCTCTAATTTGAAGACGGGGTAAAATGTAACATGTTAACTTCCTTTTTGGCTGTAAGAAAATAAACTCATGATATCCTTAATCCAAGATGGTCTTAACGCGTCACGTGACTTAATACACCCCAGCCAACACTGGAGAATGTTTGAGTGATATTCCCAAGTTTTAATTAAAGCGTGCTGGGAAAAGTATTTCAAACGGGTATGCTCGGATAGTCCTCGAATCTCACAGTGTACGTCAAGTTTTGCTTTCGGAAAACTGCTCGCTTCACGGAACAGATAATATCCGCTGATAATATCCGGGCATATTACCGCGCCAAAGGGAGGTTTTTTGTTTATATAAATTGCATCACCGCGATGTCATTGCTGTTACTAATTAAACCTACCGAAACTCTACTTGTTATCCTCTCTATGCTATGCAACACGTGTACAATGCTGTTAAAGGTTGTCGTGGAAATATTGTCGAAAGACGTTTTATGCTATTAAATCAAATGAATAACGCATAATGACCACATTTACAAATAATGTTAATGGCACCACATACATGTATCTGTTACATCGACGATGCTACGTTTTATTTTATTTCATTTTTTGCTTTTGTTTTTGTTTTTGTTTGTTTGTTTGTTTGTTTTTTTAATTTCATCCAAACAAAAAATAAGCCTCAAAGGCATTCATTTCAATGTAAAAAATGGCAGCTTTAGGATCTCAAATTTCCATGCGCTTGCAACGCATGGAGCAATTCTTCATATTGTGTGACATTTGCATTGGAGTGCTCCATTTTGGTGGCCATAGTATCATAAGTGGTTATAAATTCATTTCTAAACAATTCCTCGCGTTATTTCAGACATGCAGAGGCATCGGCGTCTGATGTATACATAATTTGCACTTGGTTTTAGATGACTTTCCCATCCTACCGCAATCGCTTCCCTTAAACAGATAAAGCAAAACGCCGTTACAAAGTCGTTACTCCAGAAGACCTAAAAGACACCAGATATCATAAGGACCACTGCATAGAAAAAAATCATCAATCTTTCGCAAATTGAACGCTGGAAAGGTCGTGACGTTTATAATTTTACTTCAACCAACGTGAACAACGTGTTAGGAGTCAGAGTACGAGGACGCCATTGAAAAGAAAAAAAATAAA